GGCCGCGCCCAGCGGACCCCCGGGACCGTGCGGCTCCCGGTGGGCGGGCCGCTGTGGGCGGAAGGAAGCCGCTCGCACCTGCTGTGAGACTGTCGGCAGAAAATTCTGGAAGCTGAGCCGGCCGATGGTGACGAAGGCAAGCGCACGGGGTGCGGGACAGGCGGGGAAGCGGGCAAGGGGCGCAGCGGAGAATTTTGGGGTGACAGGCTGTCGCCTGCGCTGTGGGGAGGCCGAGGCCGCAGGTCCGCAGCCCCAGCGACGAAACCCCGGCTGCGCTGGACAGGGCTGCCCAGAGGAAAGCCGCCCCGCTGGCCGGGGCTCTAGAGGGCCAGGACCGGCCCGCTCGGGAGGAGGCCACGGCCCTCACAGCACATCCAGAGCCGGGACCGCGGGGCCTGAGCCCCAGAGCGAGCTTCTTACCTTGAAGGCGCCTGGATAGCGGCCGAGGGTCCCGGAGAGCGCCCCAGGGTGGACACGAGCCCAGGGCCCCGCCCTGTGTGAACGTGGTGTCCCCACGTGTGGCCTCGGGCGCAGAGGGTGGGCGGGCCTGCAGCCTCCCGGGTGTCCGGCGTCCGGAAGGGGCTCGCGGCCCGGGGCTGACGCCTGCACACTGGCCCCGGCGGCCGCTGTCGGCCGGACGAGCTGCAGGCTTCCCCGGCCAGCTCGGCAGGGCCACGGTGAGCGCACCTAGAGAAAGGGGACTCAGGTGGGCCCGCAGCCTTCGGTCTGTGCCCCGAGGTCAGTGTGGGGAGTGGGGGAGTGCAAACGGCAGGGCTGACCCCTCAGACCACGCCCTCTGGCTGCTAAACCCTGCTGGCTGCCCCCTCCCGCCCCCCCCAGGGTGCTGGGCCAAGGCTCAGCTGGGGCCCGAGGGCCGCAGCTGCCAGAGGCCGTGAGAGCGGCTGCAGCAGGCCGCCTGCCCGCCCCCCTGCAGCCCCCAGCTCACCGCAGCCAGGGGCGCAGGCCCTCACCAGCTGTGAGGCAGAGCAAAGCTCCTCTTAGGCCCTCAGCTCGCCGGGCCTTAGCAGGAGCAAAGCCTGGCCTTCACCGCCATGTCCACAGGCGTCACGCCTGCCCTCCTCTGGCCGGGCCCCGGGCTGGCTTCTGGGACTGCAGGCCCTGGCCCCGCTCCTCCAGGGTCAGCCAGGCCTGTGAGGATCCCCGGCCAGGCCGGCCGGCTGCGGGGCTGCCTCCGGGAGCCCAGGG